GGATAAGAGTGATGTAATTGAGTAGGGAGGGCAGCCATGGATGCTGCACTGCACTGGGGCCGACATTAACTGGAAATATGGACAAAGGTGGGTGAGGGTTTAAGGAGGGCGGTCTAGGAGGGAGGGACATGTTAGCAGGGGAAGAGGTGGGATGGTTATCAGGGGGGAGAGAGTAACTCCTTCCATGGGTAATGGGGTGGGGGAATTTCTGGGCATGGTAGCTCTAGGAGAGTATCCTGAGATATAGGGAAAGGAGCTCCTTCCTTGTTGGAAGTGGGAGCAGAGACGGCGTCCACCTCTGGGTCCAGGATGTCTGGGGTTGAGGTAATAGCCAGATCTACACTAGATTGCTCCCAGCAGTGTTTGTTGTGGGCTGAGATGACTTCCTCAGGAGAGGAGGATTTAAGGCTAGCAATGATGGCTAGGAGGATCAGTACCAATGATGCTGGGGGAGTGATCCCTGACCTGACCTTCCTTTTGCAGGCCAGGAAGAGAACCTGCATCCATGTGTCAGGGTCCCACATGTTTTTAGGGGAGATCCATGGAACTAAATTAGTGGCTTCATCCCAAAAGTGTTTATCTTTTGGTTTCACTTTCATCTAGTTTTAAGGAGCACCTTGAGTGCTGCCGTTTGTGGTTCCCTGCATTGTGGTGGTAAATTGCCCATTGTGGGAGGGCCTCATGAAGGGGAATTCACCACAAAAGTAGAAGAGGGTGACTACAAAGAGGGCACAAAGGAAGCAAATAAGCACCTTGAGCCACTCTGATGTAAACCACCCTGACATGTAAGAGTGTATCAGATCCAAATGTCTTGTGCTCAGTGAGGGACTTCTGGAGGCCATCACACCTCCAGCCGTATGCTCACACAATGTCTCCAGGACAGGCAACAGTGTGGCCTGAAGCCTGGACTCTGAGTTCGGGGTGGATCAGCCCTTATGTGAACTCACCGGGAAGAGCTGAGAGGGGGGAGGTGCCAACGTGGTCTTCGGGACCACGTGGCAGAGTGTGCCTCCCTGATCTAATGAACTAGTCCAACAATAAAGATGACAGACAGGGTGGAGGCAACAGAGCAGGGGGCTACTCGCTTACCCTCGAGCAGCCGAAGAAACAGACAAGACCAGGGGCCTACTTACCGAACGAACCACTGGGATAAGCCAAGAGGGGTGTGGTGCTGACGTGGGCTTCAGGACCACATGGTGGAGTGTGCCTCCCTGATCTAACAAACTAGTTCAACAATAAAGACGACAGAGAGGGTGGAGGGGACAGAGTAGGGGGCTACTAGCTCACCCTTGAGCAGCTGAAGAAACAGACAAATCCAGGGGCCTACTTACCGAATGAACCGAGGTTCTGCGTGTTACCAACACTGTGGGCAGGGGTCCCTGTTCAGGCGTCAGGTGTTGCACGTCTTCCTCAGGCCAGCTGTGAAGACCCTGACCTGGATCAGGTCCCCTGACGATTAGGGGGGTGGGGGCAAGAGGCACGGAGTCAACACACAGACACATTCAGGAGGGGGCAGGCCTTATATTTCCCTTTCTCCTCCCCAAAGTCCCTTTGGTCAGTATATCGTGTTCTGGTTGGTCCGTGCTATGCAGTCTGTTTGTGTCAGCAGTCACTAGGCTTGCAAGCAGGGTACAGAAGCCCAGGCTCCTTCTGGCGGGCTCCTTTTCACTGGCTATTTACAGGCCAGGAAGTGAAGTGAACGCTCGCTGAATCACAGGGCTCTGGGTTGGTGCCATCTTTGAAGGCCTCCTGCTACAGTTGATGATGACCTCAGCATTAAGGAAATAGGCATGATCTCTGTTGCCTTCTGAACTAAGCTTACATATAGAGTCTTCATCAATTAGAGTCTTACAACTCTAATTAATTTATGTTAATCCTAAGAATGCTGAGGTATCCTAGCTTCCTTCCCTTCAGAGTATTAGAAAGTAATCAGGCTTTTAATTTTCTTTAATATTTTAGGACCTAAATGTCTCTTTCAATAAGAAATGATGATTTTAATTTTCCCCAACAATTACAAATTATTGTCCAAATTTTACCCCAAAATTACTAGGAAATCAACTCTCAAACTTAGTACATTTTTTCATATTATTTGGGAATATGATGTTAGAAATGAACCTGCTTTTTATATCTCAGCATTTTTTAATTTATTTGATTGATTTTCATGTGCATGTGTGTGGAGTATTGCATGTATGCATGTTCACACGTGTTGGTGTACATGGGTGTATACATGCTTGTGGAAACCCAAATTTGACATTGAGCATCTTCATTGATTGTTCACCATTAATTTATTGAAGTGGGGTCTTTGATGAACCGGAAGTTGGCTGATTCCACATAGCCTAGGTGGCCAGCTTGTCCCCAGGTTCATCTGCCTCTTGAGCACTGGAAACACAGGTAGGCCTATGTGCTGCATGGCTTTTCATTGATGCTGAAATCCAAACTACACCCCTCACAATTGTGCAAAAATGCTTTACCTGTTCAGCCATTTAGAACTAAGCTCTTCAAAGTCTCTTTTAAATCTTCATATCAACCCGTTGTGAGTCTGTACCGATTGGCATATACAGCAAAAAGAAGCTTGCATGATGAGGAATGAGAGATAAGCTAATTTATGAATAATAATATAAGACTAGAAGAAAGTTTGATTTTACATATATTTAACAGAGTAATAGAATTAGGTTCTCCCCTAGGGTCTATGATGTAGGCAATCACAGGTTTTTGGCAGAATTGACAGTACAAGATACAAGTTGCATCTCATGAAACAGAATTTAAATCCAATCAGAAAATGGCTCCTTATGTCTATAACATTCCTGCTACTATTGAACCAGTAGACATATCTTTCCAGGAAAGCTGTTATTGTAGCTCAAAGGGTTTACAGTTGGGAAAGTTTGTTGATTACTTATCCCCCTTGGTAGCATAAATAGAAAGGGAACCAATGGCATTGAAGCTTCCAGGTGAGTATCAGCTAGATATCTCCTAGTCTTATAAATCGTGTATGTGGCATCTATCAACAAAAGCATCTTATGATCATGTTTTAGGTGATAACCAAGAGCAATGGCAATAGCCTCTAATGCTAGGAGAGGTCTATGGAACCCGAGTGACCAACAAACTGAGAAAAAAAAAAAGGCAATCCAACCCTGTGGCACTGGAATTGTTCTTTGATACTAAATATTAAAAAAAAATAATAGGTTGAGGCTGGAGAGTTGGCTCAGTGGTTAAGAGCACTAACTGTTCTTGCCAAGGACGCAAGTTCAATTCCCAGCACCCACATGGTGTCTAATAACCATAATAAGTTCAGTTCCAGGGGATCCGATGCCCTCTTCTGACCTCCAGGGTCAATAAATGGCACAGACACACACACATGTAGGAAACACTCATACACATAAAATAAAAATAATAAATAAAATATTAAAAAATAAAAATAGCAGCATAATCTTCTAGTTACCTAATAAGTCAGTAATAATGAGCTGCTGAATAAATGAATGAATTCAAAATAAGGAAAACACATCAAACACATTGTGGGGTTTTGCTAAACTAAATAGAAAATAGTTGGAAGATAAGAGTCTGATGATTTTTTTACTCACATTATGTAATTCATTTCATGACCTCAAAGAATACAGGAAATTGAACATTTATTTGCTTTTTTTCTTTCAAATTTCAGGAATCCAAGCAATGAAAATCAACCAAACACTTGTGAAGGAATTCATTCTTGTGGGCTTTCCCATATACCCACATGTACAGACCTTCCTCTTTGTGATCTTTTGTGTCTACCTTCTGACTCTTGCAGGCAATCTGGCCATCATGGCTTTGACCTGGGTGGATAGATCCCTCCACATCCCTATGTACCTCTTCCTTAGTGCGCTCTCCTTCTCTGAGACCTGCTATACTTTGACTATCATCCCCAAGATGCTGGTGGATCTACTGGCCAAGGGCAGGAGCATTTCAGTCATAGGCTGTGGCTTACAGATGTGCTTCTTCCTGGGGCTTGGGGGTACAAACTGTATCATTCTTGCTATGATGGGGTATGACTGCTTCCTGGCCATCTGCAATCCACTCAGACACCCTCTTTTTATGACCAGTACTGCATGTGGATACCTTGTGGCCTCTGCTTGGACTGGAGGCTTCTGTATCTCACTGATAGAGACTGCACTGATAAATAGGGTCTCTTTCTGCATACTCAACCTCATCAAACACTTCTTCCACATGTGAGCAGTTGTAAGGCTGTCATGCATGGACAGTGAGATCACAGAACACATTGTAACAGTAATGTCAGTGTCAGGCTTGCTGGGTACATTCTTGCTCATCCTTTTAACATATGTATTCATCCTTTCCTCTGTCTTCAAGATCCTTTTAGCTGAGGGTAAGCAAAAGGCATTTTCCACCTGTGCCTCACACCTTACTGCTGTCATCATCCACTTTTATTTTGCATCTGTTGTTTATCTGAAGCCAGAATCTGCAGAGGGAGACGACACCCTCACAGCAGTCCCTTACACTGCCATTACTCCTTTTCTCAGTCCCATCATATTCACACTCAGGAATAAGGATATGAAGAATGCTTTCAGAAAGATCATGAGAAAGACACTGTCCTTGAAAAAATAATCTTGGATTATTGGTGTTTGTTTAATGTATGGTTTACTTTCTCCAGGAGTCAGTGGATCATTTGCTCTGTGACCTCTACAGAAAGGATGGGATATGGGAGGAAGCCATTGAGACCTCCACCTAAGTTCTCACAGGCATTTTCTAAACTTCTTCAGGAAGTTATCCAGTCCTTCTGCTTTCCACTGTCAGAAGAAGACTGTCAAAGATCCTACCGATCAATGTCTGGGTATCCTACACCATTCCTAAGTGGGAAACGAAAGAGAACAAAAGAAAAGAAATCAATTTGGTCACTGCACTGAAATATTTCCTGGATCTAAAGATGTAAATATTACATTTTTCTGGGTTATATTGTTATGAACTGGGCCAGACTCCCCAGGAGGCAAACTCTTTCTGAGAGCTGATCTATCTTATAAAAACCAACATCTTTCTATTTGTGCATATGTGAATAGACATATGCACACATGCACACACATTTGTTAAGTATTCACACTATATAGATTACTGATCGCTAAACATTTTATCAACATCCTATTCATAACTGTGAACTTCTAATGACATCTAGATGCTGACTTCTGAATTAGGGGAAATATTTCAGCATATTTTATATAAATAAACAAGATATTAATTCTTAAATCTTTTATGATTTGGAAAACCTTGAATGTGAGAAATGTGTTTCGGAATTCTCTGTAGTAAGGATATTCAAGTGCAACTGTTAATGGGCTTTACTGTGATATTGAGACTTGAGAAATAAGCATTTTGCAATAATTTTAGCAAAGTAAGAAATGTATAAAAGAGGAAACAAGGTGAACATAGTATTAAAACTTTATATAAAAAGAAACAGAAAAAGAAACACTGTGAAATTTATATTACAGAATAGCAAGTAGTCTTATTAAAAATTCAGACGTAAAAGTCTAGAAAATTTCTTGAAATGTTTTCTCAGCTTTATGGTTAAACAACTCTGTGACTTCTATGAAAGGAATAAATTTGGGAGTCTGGAGAAATGATCGAGTGGTTAAGAGCACTTCCTGCTGTTCCTGGGGACCAAACTTCAATGCCCAACAACCACAATATGTGGCTCACAACCATCTTTAACTCCAGATCCAAAGGATCAATACCCTCTTTGGGCTACCGTATTGCCTCCACACACATGATATACATTCAAACAGACCAGAGAGCCACACACATGCATGTGATTAAAAATCATAATGGTATACTATATGGAAAACTATTTTTAATGTCACCACAGTATTAACACTCACGATGTAACGTGCTTTATTTTCCTCTATTGGCATGTATAGTCAGTCAGATATCCAATGCATTTATGGTTTTTTTTTTATTTTGTCAAAATAAATACATGTTTCTTGCAGAAAAATGAAATATGCATAAATTTGTATGACATCATGTCCCATAAATAAAGATGGTTGTCATTTTAGAAAAAAAAGATATAAATTTTGTACTGGGATGTTGTACATAAGAATTTACATGAAAAATCTTGGAGCAATTTAAACTCCATTTTATATGGTATTTTATAAAGACAAATTAAATAATTAAAGAAAAATGTCCAGTAGATGAAGGTTAACCCCTTATCATGGTTCTCTTATCTTACATGGGGTTGTGTTTATGATATATCTTGAGTCAGAATCTTTCCTGTTTTCAACGTGAATAATTTATTTAACTATCAACAGTTTTATTTTCATTTTGTTTCACTCCTGACAGCTCGGAATTCAATCCAAGAAAGGTATGCATTTGACATAAATGCTATTTACTCATGTTAGAGGTAGATAATGTTATATTATGTCTAGAACTGAACATGGAGGGTTTTAAGTGAATTAATGTGTATAACAACAAATGTCATAGATTATTCTGGTGTGTTGAAGCTGTAAAAGATTATCTGAATAGAGGTTAGAGATTTAATTAGAGCCTGGGAAAGGTGAGGGTAAAGATGAAGTTTGGAGAACACAGAGAGAATAGAGGTAGTTCACTACAGCACAATAGCTATAGTTTAGAAGAACCTATCATGTAATCTATGAACATCTTGAGGAGCAGAGTACAAGGCTTAAAACATATAGCAATAGTAGAAATCAGCCTTAATAGTAGAAATTAGCATTAATTAGCCTTATTGCAACAGTATGCACTGCATACATACACATTCTGAAATATCAGCAGGACCCCATCATTACATACATTCATGTTAATTATAAAATTTTAAATACATTAAAGGAAATGGAAACGCTATGTCTGCATTTCATTTCACATTAACCAAAAAGCTAAAAAGTGATTGTGGCCTATGAAATGTACAATTAAATTAGATAGATTAAATTGCAATAAATAAAGTTCAAGATCTAGGTCATGTATCTTAATTTATGTGAAGTAAACCACTCTACCCTAATATATTGACTGTGAATATGGGTTGCTAGTTAACTACTAAGTATTTTTTGTTAACATAGATATAAGTAATTAAACTGAAGCTGAAAATACCCAATGGCTTATGAACACCTGGGCACTTAAGCTATAAGTAGTAGAGATTACAGAACAGTGGGAAAAAAGGACCTTGTTTCACTAACTGTAGCTAATAGTATAGTAAATTCATAGGGGAAAAAGAAACTTTAAGTAGACTAGAAGATAAATCTAAAGGGTGTTATAAGAACATGTCTTTACCAATTTACAGAAGGAAATATTATGTAAACTTTTCTGAGAATAATCAACTATTAAGGGCTCAGTCATAAACAAGACATTTATACTATTCCCTTTAAGGCTTTGGAAAAATGTCAGAAGAATGGGTGGAAAAAAGATCTGGAGCACAGTGAAAAGTGCTGTGAAACGTCATGACACACCATTGTAATAATGAATGCATCAACACTCAGTCATGACTGATGGTGGGGCTTAGGGGTCCTGCACCTTACTCTTGAACTATTAGCTACTGATTGATTCTGGAAGAGTGGAAATCATTGTTTTGAACTGTATACCAACTGAGTAGCCCACCACAACTGATAAACACAGTGGGTCATAAATAAAACAAAAAGACCTGAATACAGGGAAGACATCAGGGAGAGGGAGATGGACAAGCATTGGAGGGACATAAAAGAGGATGGGATGAGAGCAATCAGAGCACATGATATGTATATATGAAATTATTAAACTACAAACATAATTAAAACTATATAAATTCTTAAATGGAAGTATGATTTATAAATCAAAATTGAGAAATTTTACTATTTATTATTTAGAGAACAGAAAGATCGAGCTAATAATGAAATGAATATAGGTATTTAACAAATTAATTGGTGTAAAATTTAGGTAAGTAATGACTTTCAGGAGAGAAGACCCAGTTCAGTGGGACATGCAAGGATCCCTGGCTAGAAATTTTTTTACTTTAAATTTGATTAATATTACAAGAGTCTTTGCTTCATGAAAAATTTACTAAGCTAGGTTTTAGTATGAGTGATTTTCTGTGGGTTTTTTTTTTTTCTTAATAATATAAACATTTAACAAAGCAGTCCTCGTAATGAAAAAAAATGTGTGTAACATATGTCTGGCAAAAGACATCTGTCCTAATTTCTTTTTTATGAGGGAGGGGTCTTTTTGAGACAGGCTCTCCCTGTAGCCCCAGGTGTCCTGGAACTCATTATGTAGACCAGGCTGGCCTTGAACTCACTGAGAACCCCCTGCCTCTGCTTCCCAAATGCTGGGACTAAAGGTGTGCGCCACCACGCCCGGCCAATTTAAATGTTTAAATTGGTGTCTATTGATAGTACATAGCACTGGGTTTCATAATTCTTTCAAGTAGATCATGTACTGTGAACACATTCATCCCTCAACTCTCCCTGTTCTCTGCCCTCCTCCTGCTAGTCTCTTTCCTCCAGTCTCCCTTCCACTTTCACGTCATGTAGAGAAACAGTTTTATGTATCTATAAGCAAATCTATGATCTACAATGAAAGAAAACATGGAATAAAATGATTTATTTTGCTTTATGTCAGGTCATTACTTAAATCTGTCTTCCAAGAGACAATGTAATTTTATTCTTTGGTTAAATAAAACTCAATTGTGTATAAA